TGTAGACAGGCCTATTGACTGAATATTATTGTAGGGTGACATGGACGTACCAATTTTAGTATCGTATCTTCTTGGACTGATCAGCTCTCTTTGAGAGGGGCATCTCTAGTCTTCTAACTGGAAGGTAAAGGCTTTGGAGAGTCAACTTGGGGAAGAGAGCTGGGAGTCTCAGAACTTCAGAATGCTTATGTTAAGGTTAACTTAATTCCTCTATTCTCAAGGTACTGCTATCCTCAGCTGTGCCCAGTGTCCCTAAGCCCAGAGACCCTTCGATTGATTATTTCTGGAAAATAAACCTCTAGTCTTCTTCCAGAATTGGAGTGGGACCCAGAAATGCAGAGTAAGAAAAGACCTAGCATTCTAACTGCTTTCTAAACATTTTTCAATCAAAATAAATCTTCTCAGTGTATCATTGCCTGTTTAACCAGAGTTAGGCCACACTTAAGGTTAAGGGTACAGTCCCCCAAGACTGCCTAGTTTGCCCAAGACTTCTGATGCCAGCTGCAAGTTCAGGGGTCTCCAGGGCTATCCTTACATTAGACTAGCTGATGATAAATTTGGAGGTTCTCAGGGACTCCTTTAGATTTGATAATTTGATAGATAACTCATAGAACTCAGAAAAGCACTATACTTATGACTGTAGTTTTATTATATCAAAAGGATACAAATTAGAACCAGCCAAAGAAAGAAACACATTGGGTGGAATCTGGACCGAGAAGTTTCCAAACGCAAAGCTTCTGTGTCCTTAAAGATACATTACCCTCTTGCCCTTGATGTGTGACAATACTCGTGGAGTGTTGCCAACTGGAGAAGTTTTCTTGAACTTCAGTGTCCATAATTCTTACTGGGGCTTCATTACTGAAGCATGATTGATTGAATGGTTGCCCATGTGGTTGCTCAAGGCCCCAACCCTTTAATTATATATATGGTCTTTCTGTCTGGCTAGCCTCCATCATGTGTCACCTTGTAAGTGTAGACCATCATGTGTGATCTGAGGGGCCCACCATGAAAAACAAAAATAATCCTATCATTCAGGAAATTACAAAAGGTTTAGAGGTTACCTCCCAGGAATTGGAATAAAGGCCAGACTTCTCTTTGGGTAAACTTATTTTCCACTACATACTTTTTTATCTCCACTTCCAGAGATTCCTGGTTCCACTAATTTCAGTACACTTAAATGATTCTTAAGTAAAATCATGTTGGTTCTTTGCTCTCTATGTTGCTGGTTTAAGATTTAGTTTTCTTGAGTTGGCTAAGGCATTTATCACTTGTTCATCTAATTTTCAGCTTCCAAAAGTATTATTCTTTTTCCTTCCATTCTTGAGTGTTTTCACTTAAAAAAAAAAACTTCAAACAAAAAACTCTCTACAGTAGTGTTAGTGGGGTTTCTGCAGGGAGCAAGATAAGATAGATATATTCACTTGGCTATCTCTTCCAAGAAATACCCCAGCACTCTCAATTTATTTGTCAGTAGCAACTTTTTGTAGAATACCTATCAAAACCTGGTAAATAAACACTGAATTAGCAAACACTTCTATATTGCTAGTAACTAATTTAGGCTTCCAAATCTTTCAAGATGACTTTTCTTTTAGGGATCGTCTCCTTTCTATTTTACATATTGAAGTCACAAAAGATAAATATCCTCTTACACTTATTGACTGGGATGAGAACATGGGGGTAGAGGAGGATCTTTTAAATTCAATGTTATCTATTTTTAAAATGTTTGAATTAATATATATTACTTTTTAATTAATTTAAAAATAATTTTAGAACAAGAAAAAAAGTAAAAACATTGCATAAAATGATTCTAAAAATTTTTCCACTTCAAATCTATGATGCTAAGGTTAATGGAGAGCTAAAAATGGAGAACTCTTTTTATATTTAATGGAGTAGGTAGGACAGAGCACAGAATTCCTTTCATCACTCTGATCTAAAAGTCAGGCTTGTAGTCTCCCTCTCTCTCAATCAATCTCTCTTTATCTTTCTCTCTCCCTTTTTCTGGGCTATAAAGAAGTTTTTAAGGTTACATTTTGTATTGATGAAGTCTGCCTAGAAAAGAAGATGTTGATCCTCTCATTATGCTAATATCTCATTTCATTTTTTGGTAAATAAGAGTGTGTATAGTGATTTTTTTGTCTCATTCTGGGACACAACTCCAATTCTACTTCTCTGCTTTTATAGTCTTTTACAGTCATTTTAGAGTTCCTGCCCCTCTGTGTGATTCATTCCAAACTCCAAAGCATGGCATTCAGAGCTGTCTCAGAACATGGCTGCAACTTACCTTACAGCTTTATCTGTTTCTGGTTCCCATAAAGCTCCCAATCCCTCTCAACCCTGAATTATTTGCTGATTCTCCCAACGTCTTGGTGTTGAGGTGTCTTTGTCCATGTAGTTTCCCAGCCTGGAGTTCTTTCCCCACCTCCCTTCCATTTCTGCCCATCTAAATCATACCCATTTTTACAAGCCCATCTGAAATGTTAGCTTCTTCGGTAAATGTTCTCCCTTATCTCTCCTTCATTCATGATTAATGCCACTCCACAGGTGTCTCATAGAGCTTTGTTTGCCCATATACTGCCTAAGTAATAGGTGTCAGTGGATGAGTATGTGTGTGTGTGTGTGTACCTGTGTATTTATGCGTGTGTGTGTGTGCACGCGCACATATATAAGAGAAGGGTGGAGGGAGGGAAATTGTCCCCATCAAGTTATAATTGCTTTGAGGATAAATATGATGAGTCATGTATACACATAATGCCCTGTATATAGTTGATTCTCAGTAATGTCAGTTGATTTGAAATAAATCTTGTTTCATTTTCTTAGTATTAATAGCATTGACAAAAGCAACAATTGCATACATTATGTATTAGAGTTTTACAAATCCAGTTCCTCCCAAGAAATTTTCTTGAACAACAGAAAAGTGGCTGTCTAATGCTTAAAGATGAAGATTAACAACTTGGTTTGGGGGTAAGAAATAGGAACACTCATTAGAGTCGCTGAGTCAGGTCCCCACACTCATGACCATGGGCACCATTCACAGCTGACCGTGATGCAGCCAAATGAATCTCTGAGTGACAGGAACTGACTGTTGTAGTGGGGGAAAGAGAACATGGGAGATGTGATGACTAACTGAGTCAGTCTGGGTGTCGATGCCACAGGAGAAGGATCTGAGTAATCAGAGGCAGGGGAGGTAGGAGGAGGGGTGGATTGAGGAAGATGATTGATGGAGTGTGTTATAGTTAACAGAAGACCCTATGTTCTGGGCAAAGTAGTTAGCAGTGATTGAGGGAAGACTGGAGAGAGGGTGCATGGTTTCTTTGTGATTAGCAGGATGTAATCAGTCATTTGCCTGGGGGACAGCCATACACAAAGGATATATTAAAGGGTAAAAGGGGGGGGGACATCAATGATGACTCCAAGATCTTTTAAATTGTAGAAATCTGTCTGGGCCCCACTATTTACATGCTGTGTTCACCCCCCTCCCTGCTCCCTAACCCTATGCACTTAAAGCTTGAGGTCCCTCTTCTCACTGATATCCACTTGCAGGCTGCTCTGCTATGGCAGGGTGATTAGAAAGTGAGCCTAATTGGGGTTACCTCAGTGATCTCAGTAAACAGTGTTACTCCAGGTGAGGGCTGGAGAGTGTGGGGCTGGGGCTGGGAGGAGAAGAGGGCCAAAGAGAAGGAGGAATCAGATAGTGATTATGGAAACTTCCTTAGGAGCATCTTACAAAAGCCACTCTCTTTTTTACCCTAAGTACAAATTTAACTCAATACTTGATAGGAATTCTTTGACTCTCCTCTTAAGGAACTTTAAAGCCATTTAAAGTTTCCCAACTCTTGACTTCAGGATAGGCCAGGGATGTAGGCAGGCAGCAAGATTTAAAATTGGGTGATAAAGTAAAGCCTCATTCATCTTGATAGACCATAACATTTAATTAAGCAATTTATTAAGTTTGTTTTTGTTTCCTTTGGCGAGCCCAGTTCTAGAATCCTGGAACCGGATACTGGGTGTACCTCTTGAGTTCATTTATTTTTTCTTAATGTAATCAAAGCATGAGAGCTAATCATAGACAAAAATCAAAGCATTCCAGTGCAACTTTTTTCCTCTTTCAAAATTCAGTGTCTCTGTGAATAGGTTCTGTGACGAGTGATTATGAGAATATGAAAGAAAAAAAATGAAGTGGGAGAAAAAGGACACTTAGCGATGCCTAACTTAATACCTCGGTTTTGTAAAATGTGCTTTGTAGCAAGCAGATTCATTACTTTGGCTGGATTTATGCTTTACTCTCATTAGTTTGTTAAGGAGTAAGCAGAGGACAGAAAGATTGGGAGTAAATATTTAGGCTTGGGGTTGATTTACATGATGATAAGGCCACCTCTCAAACTGCACACATGAAGATGCTCTTGCTTGGAAAGAGCAGTTTCTTCCTAAGAAAAGAGAGGGAGCTTGAATGCATGTAGCTCAAATGGGCTTTGTTAGCTGGTTATGTTAATATAGTACTATTAATTTATTTAGAAATTTATTTATCCCGCTTTAGGATTGCTCAGTTTTCGGGGTATACAGTCTTGGTTCTTCTGAACCATGCTTGGATGTGTTCTGTACCCCCAAAACAAGTGATCCTTGTTTTGGCAACTGTCTTCTTTTTGTCAGCTCACTTACCACTGTTTGTTTGCAAAAGACCTGCCTATAACTACACAGGCGTGGAGATTATACACTAGCTTCCAAGTAGGGACAGTATAGTAGCCCTCTCTTTGCAAGAGATTTAGGCCACAAAGGGTGTATGAAGCTGGTGCCCTCTGGACTCACCAGTGTCCTGCTGGCATAAAGCAGCCCTGATACTGGCCTTTATCTTGTTTGGCTACAAGAAGAGAACCCGAGGGGGGAGTGGAGGAGGAGCCAGATGCTTAATCCTGAAGGACCTTTAGTGACAAAAGCATTTACAGTGATTATAGTAGGAAGATTTCTGGCTTTTCTGTTCTTTTATTTAAGAGAGAAAATTACAGAGAAGGGAGAAAGAGGTGGGCAGTTCTGACGGGTGTGTAGCTGCATTCTTTGCTTCCTAGTTTGGTCGAAGAACACACTCTGTATTTAAATGTATTCTGCTAACATCAGGTTTCGACTCAGAACTTGTGGACTGTCAGGGAGGTAGCAGCCTCGGCCCTTGTTAGTAAGCCATCCGTGGTAAGTTTCTTCTGTTTCTATAGTATAATAAATAGAGTTTGGTGAGAAAAGGCTTTCTACAAATTAAAAAAAAAATCTTTAAAATCTTTACTGCTTTCAGCTTTTGCATTTTAAATGTTGACTTTTCTTTGAATATGTGGAAAGGAAAGGATTTGATCTATGTTATTTTTAACAGCAGCTGGGATAAAGGTGGTATTATCTCTAATGCTGGAAAGGTGGCTACAGATAAGCGTTCGATGGGGGGAGGAGAACGGGAGGTCATTAGGTTCAAAAAGCAGGTTGATCACTCCTCTTACGCTGCTTTGGAGCCAGAGTTGTAAGTGGGTGGGTGCCTGTATGCACTTGAGTCAATGCTTTCATTTGCATTGTTAGAAGTTGTTTCCTACTGGCTTTTTAAAAAGATTTCTTTGTGACTAGAAAGAAATCTAATTGCAAGAACTCTTGTGAAGGAAAAATACAAAACTTAGAGCATTTAGAACGTGTAGACTTGTGCTGAATTTCCTACTATTTGTTAGCATTCAGATGGAGTAATTAATTTGATGGGAAAGCAAGCTTGAATAGTCATGATAAAGGCGGGAAGATATACACAAAGATTGTTACTGTAAGTCTCTACAATGTGAGACAGTTTTCCTTAAAGTATAAATTTATCTTTGAAATCAGATGTGATTTTGTGAAAATCAGAGATAGAGGTTGATTATCCATGGGTGGTACATTTAAATGGGAACTACTGGAACTGAAAATGAAATGTTTATAGTAATTAGTTTCCATGAAAATGGATAATTAATCAATTTTATGCCACTTCCTGAGTTTGCTATGCTGTTATGACACATACAGTGTTCCTTTCCCAGTGGCAAAGCTGTATATGAAGGAAAGTAAATAGACAGGAGTTGAAATAAAACTTGAGTAAAATGCTGCTTAGCTTCACTTTTCTGGGTTTTGGAAATTCTCTTGTTTACAGTCTGATCAACTAAATATGGAACCATCACATGCAGGTTGAAATTTTGTAGATGCAGGAAAATTTTGCTTTGGCAGCTTGAATGTAAGGTTCCCTTGCCCTTTACTCATGTGTGATGCACACCAGCTACATTTATGTTTAATGTTTCTATTTCATTCTCTTTGTCCTCTACATATATAACCACGTCTGTGTTATTAACCTTAAGATTCAAATTCCCAGAGAGGAGAAGCTCCCATATTCATTCCTCTGGGAAGAATTAGCAACATATAATGTGTAAATAATGATTTACAGAATGCATTTGCGTGGTAATAATTTATTTCTTTCAATTAAGTGGGACAAATCTATTGATGTTCTTCGTGTGCTGTTATGTGAAATGGAGGCCCATCATTAGTATCTGCATAGCTCTTTTTCTAGGCAGGATGCTTCCAATAACTGAGAAATCTCTGGATAAACAGCCCTAGGTAATCATACATTCTTATAGTCAGATGGGATCTTACTGATCATCTAGTCCAATTTTGTCGTTTTACAGATGAGGAAACCGGGACCCAGAAATGCGGAGCATCTTGCCCCAAATCAGACAAAACTGCACTGAGCCTGCCTGGTGCACAGTCTGGTGGTATATGTGGAAATGTATGTTGGGACATAAATTGTATAGAGTCAATTCTTTGGTATGTTTTTTAGTTTATAGTAGAATACGTGTTTCAGAGGAGGTCCTGCCTTGATTTAGGGTTTCAGGGAAAACACAATGACCGAGCATCATTTTTCAGTTGTACAGGGCTCTTAGGCAGGTGTCTAGGGGTGAGTGATTGTGTGGACATAAGTGAAACAATTCTTTATACACTGCCCTGGCATTTAGTTGTCTGGTTTGGATGAGACTGGTTAGAGGAGTGAACCACTGTGACCCCAATGTCTTCTACATTTTTCGCTTGTTCTGTGGCCTTGCACTAAAAACCTTTATCAACCTTTGTGTATTAGATTCTTCCTCTGGGACAGTGATTCTAAATAGATCCCTCAGAAGGCAGTGAATTGATTAAATTTTAAAGTGCTTTTGGAAATCAGAATCAGAGCCTGTCTGAGACTAGGGTATGTTTTATTAAGCAGTAGTATGGTAGCTCACCCTTCTTGGAGTTTTATGCCTCCCAGTGAAATTTTGGTATCTTTTAATTGGTTTTTAAAAATAGTCAGGTCTAATATTATTGTTATGTTAAAACCTGTGTGCGAGGATGGTTTAAAATATGGGGTATAGATTTTTCCCCTCTTGCAATCAGCTGTAGAACACTGTTGAAGCCTAAAACTATTCTCTAAGGCAGGTACCAAAGTAATAAACTTACCTTATGACATAATATTTTGCTTTTTGCAAATAACTTTGTTTTCAAAAATTTATCTGTAAGCCTCCTTATCATTTAATTTAAGAATAGGATGGGGCAGTACGCTGCAGCATTGGAAGCCTTCTGAAATAGTATGTCATAAGAATAACTTATTCTTAAGGGCTCTTGTTGATTCAGCAACTCTTTTTATTCCCTGTGCCCATTCCTGTATGGAAAGTTACATGTTCTTAGTCAAATTCGGAACTTTCTTGGCTTTTCCCCTCCACTTTTGTAGGTAAACTAATTTTGTTTTTGTTTCCACGTGGATCTTAAGAATATAAAGAAATATAGGCTACTTTCTGACAGTCACATTTAATTTCATATTTTCATCAGCCACCTTTCATCTTTGAGGAAATGGGGCTATAAGCTAACTTGAATGTATAGAACTAGAAAAAAGACATATAAAAGGAATAGAAACCCATTGCCTTGAGTAGAAGTTTCTCCTGAAGCTAGAAATAATGTCTATTTAACATGCTTAAAGTACAAGATCCTGAAAGTTGTTATTTAATATCAGACTGATTGCGGAAGAAAGATAAATTACATAGCTAGACCATTAGTAAACTAACCAACTTCACCTTAAAAAGAAACTTTATTATGACTTAACTTAAATGTTAGTTTTAGTGTATTTGATTAACATTTGAATGTTGTGTGTTTAAGAGCAATTTACCCTTGAAATTCCAGAAGCCTCCATAAATTTCAGCAAAACCAAATAGTAATGTAATTTAGGTTGAGAGTTGATTAGATATATTCTATATAATCCATGACATACTTTTCAGAAAAGTAAAGATTTGGAGTTACTGCATGACATCTATTTATTTAGTAAATCATAGAAAGGAACATCTTCTGAATTCAGCACAGTGTTTTTATTAATTTGAAGATGTTCCCTCTCTAGTTATCTCATATATTGAGTATATTGGTTATAATAGTCAAAATGATGTTTGAATGCTTGTAGTAGAAAAACTCAAAATGATAGTGGCTTATACAAGATAGAAGTTTGTTTTTCTCTCAGTAAAAAGAATTCCAGGGCAGCAGTCTGGGACTTGTATAGTAGCTCCTCATTATTATGTGGAACCCGCTCCCACCCTGCTCTACCATATTCTACCTGGCGTAATCAAAAGCATCTCCTGGTCTGAGATGGCACCTGGAACTCTACTAGCAAATCCCCGTTACAAGTTAGAAGACAAGGGGAAAGCAGAAGGGCAGAAAGGGGGCCCCCTCTAATTGAGTCAGCTCCCTTTAAGCAGCAATCCTGGGCTTCCTCCACAGCAGTCCCACTTACATTTCATTGGTCAGAACTTAGCCACATGGCTACACTGAGCTTCGATGGAGGTAGGGGACGTAGTTTTAAATTCTTGGCAGGAATATTCATAGCCAAAAACCAGGATTTTGCTACTAAGGGATGAGGAGAGAATGGATGTTGGGGTAGGCATTACCACGTGGTTTTACGTTCCTGCTATGTGCTGGGACTTGGAGCTACTTGGTAAAAACTCAAAACACCTCTTTCTGTTTTTGTTATGAGCTATGGTTTCTTAATTTAGAAATCTAGCTTTATTTAGAAATCCCGTTTCTTCTGTGAAGTATCATTTCTTTATTTGGCAATCTTGTCTGACTCTTGCTTTCTTCTTTCCTCTTGCCTTTCAGCTGTTTTGGAAAGAAGTAAGGTTTAGACTTCTCCATGTTAACCATGAGCGTGACACTTTCCCCCCTGAGGTCACAGGACCTGGATCCCATGGCTACTGATGCTTCACCCATGGCCATCAACTTGACACCCACTGTGGAGCAGGGTGAGGGAGAAGAAGTGATGAAGGATATAGATTCTGACCAGCAGTATGAAAAACCACCCCCATTGCATACAGGGGCCGACTGGAAGATCGTCCTCCACTTACCCGAAATTGAGACCTGGCTCCGGATGACCTCAGAGAGGGTCCGGGACCTAACCTACTCAGTCCAGCAGGACTCGGACAGCAAGCATGTGGACGTGCATCTAGTTCAGCTAAAGGTAAGGAATGTTTCTGGGCTCAGGTCCATTCCAGATGGAAGTCTGAAGGTGGCTGTGGCACCTGGAGACTGAGTTCTGTAATTCTCAGTGAGGAGATATCCAGGAAGGAGAATAGAATAACAAGTGTGAGACCGTTATCCTTGTAGATAAACATGGTCAGAATTAATTCTTTCCTGGTTTTACTTTGTGGGCTGGGTTTCTAGAATAAAACTGACTTCAGGGGATAATGTGGGGAAATGAGGAAAGGGAGGGACTTTTTGTGCAATGTCATAGAAATCAGTAGTAAAGGATGAAAGGTTTAATAAAAACTCTCATAGGTAAAAAATCAAACTGAGTGGTAGTTGTATGTGTAGGTGATTATTATCTTCTGTTGAGGTTGATGCTACCTTTGTGGCAAACAGTGGATTGTGGCATGATGAGGAAGGTCAGTGTTCTCCTTTTAGAATGAGTCCTTTCATCCAGGGACAATGCATCATGCAGAACAAAGGTGCTTTCATAACAACTCATCTGAAGTTCAGACATTAAAAAAATGTCTGTGGCTTCTAGAACCCTTAAAATGCCTAATGGCCAATAGTAATGAAATGGTAGTGCTAGTAACGAGTGCTATTAATAGAAATCCTGGTCTCTGGACCCCAGTATCCCAAAATACAGTGAATCTTGCCCTGCCACAGCCACTCGTCTCTTCCAGTGTCTGAAGGAAATACATGCTCAGGTCAATGACCAGCAAAGCAAGGCAGATTTATAATCAATCAAGGCATTGGCCCCAAACCCCAATATAAATTTCTGGTCAGTTAATTGAACTCTTAAGGAGAATTCTTTTACCTAAGCTAAAGGTTCATACTAAATGATCTGAAACCAAAGACCCAACAGATTCTTGGATCTTAATACTTAAATGGCTTATAAGATGTAGTCATCAGTGTGAGAGGAGAAGGCAGTTAAGAGCATGTGCCCTACAGCCTAGAGCAGAGCTGGCTCAGTGTTCTCAGGCTAGTTCAGCAGATCCTGGGCCCAGCTGCCCCATGAGAGAGAGTGTACAAGAGAGTGGACGAGAGGGGTTGGAGAGAGAGAAAACGAAAGGGCCAGAATGCCAAGGTGGCTGGGCTTCTTCCAGGTTGAGCAGGCCTGGGTGGTCTTTCTACAGGTTCTTGGGAGGGGGAAAGCACAAAAGGGTGTCAGAGATGGCTGGGAACCAGCCTCAGTGGAATGCCAGCCTGGGGGCCTTCCCCACTGTGGCAGCAGGAATTGGTATGTCTCAGCCCATTTAGTCAGGGGAGCAGCTCTCCAGCTCTCCAGGCTGGAGTGCAGTGGAAGTCAGGAGGTTCCATGGCGCCCCCTCCCCACATTCCCTCTAATGCTGCACTTATGTATGTGGTTCTCCAGTAAGTAAATACAGGATTCGGTTTGTTGGAAACTCAGGAAAGGAAAGTTGACTGTTGTTCTCTAAAATCTTTCAGATTTACATAGAAAAGGTGGTAAATGGGGGGAAATGGAAATATTTTTAGAAGACTCTACTAAAAATGCTGCTGAGGGTTCCTAAAAACATTAATGTGTCAACTGACTGCATTTGATTCCATCAGTAGTATATAATCAAAAACTTAAATTTTAATTCCAAATAGGAATGTAAAGTCTTGTATAGTCATCCAAGATTATATTTAATGTTGAGAACCCCCCTGAAGGGTGATTTGTCTTTTTCTTATTGGAACTACCTGTCACCTTCTCACCTCAGTCAAAAAGTATTTCACTGCCTCTGTCTGGCCCTGTCCACCAGTGTGGTCTGCCTCCCCTGCTGAGAAAGGGGCCCAGGAAGACAGGAAGTCAGCACGGTGGTCACATAGTTAATCAATAACAGTTAAAGGGATGAAGTGAAATTGTCTTATGTTGATTTAATTCTAGGATTTATGTCATTACTTTTTTATGCTAAGTGACTTAACCAACATTCACTGTAATGTTCTAAAATACTCCGTCATAATAGAGCCCTTCCACATTGAGCCCAAAGTCAATGAGCTCTGGTCAGTGAGCCACGGCCTTGTCTACACAAGGGTTTAATTTTGGTCTCCTAATTTGCTTATTTAAGTTTCTCCTTTATTTGTGTAATAGTTCTTTATTCAACCAAACCAAATAAGCACTTCAATGTATTTAAATTTTTTTTTTTTAAATACAGGTCAGTTTTTCAGATTTCCATACTGATTCACAGGAACAAAGGGGAACTGGGGGCACAGAGTTTTATATGTGCAATCACAACAAAACCCCGTAGAAGCAGCTCTTAATTTAGGTGTCTGGCAAAGCAGAGAGGCAGGCCAAACCTGGGCAAGACCAGCCATCTGCCATGGGGCATCCCAGCTTGGCTCCTTGCCTTGATGAATTACTCACTGTGTTAATTTATAATGAAAATAACCATCTCAGAGACGGGGGTGCCATGGCTTTATGAACCATCTAGGCACAGACAATTTCCAAATTTATATATCTATCCCAATGTTCTCCAAGGAGCCCCACCTGCCTAAATGACATCTGTACTCATATCTTTAGTGAGCATCTCAACCCGGTATGTCCACTAAAAAGTTCTTAATGCCCCACCCAACCCATCTTCCCAATTTCAGTAAAAGACACAACTTTTTGCCAAGCCAAAACATGATTCCCTGACCCACATATAAGTCTATTAATGAGTCCTGGGACTCCATCTCCAAAATAAGCCTTAAATTCATTACTTCTCCCCTACACTACTGCTGCCACCCTAGTCAAGCTACTTCACTGCTTGCCAAGCTACTTTTAAAGAGTCTTCTACTGCCCTGCAGTTTATTCTTTACACAGTAGCCAAGGGGATCTCTTAGAAATATAAATCAAGTCGGGTCACTCTCTTGCTTCCTGTTGGCTTACAATAGAACCCGAATCTCTTCCTGTGGCTCTGCCCCTGCCTGCTTTTCTGGCTGTGTCTCCTGTTACTTTTCCCTTGTTTATAAAACTTCCAAGTGCCTTGGAAGTTCTAGAGAAATCTTAGGCTGATTCTTGTGTCACAGCTTTTCCTGTTCCCTCTGCCTAGAAACTGTCATCCTCTAGCTTTGCCTGGCAGATCTGGATCCTCATCAAGCAATCAACAGTCAGCCAGAGGCGCAGCCAAGTTCTCATATCTGGAGGCACAAACCTAGGAGAGGGTTGAGCAGAGGGTGGGAGGGAGGTGGGGCCTGTGCTGTGTTTGGTCGAAGGCAAGCACACAAAAAAGGAGCTCCCCTCACCTAACTTGTCTACAGGCCTCAGACTTCCCCTTCACATTGCTGGCTCCAAGTCTTGTCGTCATAGTCTTCTCTACCATCGTGCCAATGTATAACTTAGAAAAATTAGTTCAGAAATGCTTTTGGATAATGCTCAGGGTAGGTTCACCCTAATTTATATTTAATTTTATATTAAATGTCACTTTCTCAAAGAACCCGATCCCTAACCTTAAAACACCCATCTCCTTTCCCAATAATTATGTAGTCCATTATTCGTCTTATTTTTGTAATGTTTCTTATCACTAGCTTTAATTTCTTTTCTTTATTTATTTGTATTAGCTCCAAGGACCCAAATGTTTAATTCTCGACTGTATTCTTTTGCCTATAACAAGGGCTGGGCATTTGGTGTTTGCTCAGTTCACATCTATTGGATAGATAAGTTCAAATCTGTGTGGTCAGTGCCTTCTCTCTCCACAGGCAGGCTTGCACTGAAAGTCACAGGAGGAAGCCTGCTTGGGGAGGATTGAACTAAGACAATGGCATTGGATGAATCAAGTCCAAGTGCATTTGGGCACTACTTTCCCATTAGGGAGAGTCTGTGAGTGATTCAGAAAGCTTGGAGATCTTGTCTGGGGAGTCTGCCTAGGAGAGTCTATTCTTTCTGTAGGCAGCCGTGCCTGGTCTTCCTATGGCACCCTCTTTCTGTTTGACTTCTTTGGTAAGGCTTTTGGTCAATAAGCTAGAGGACCCGGCTGGAACTGCTCTTTTTCTTTAAAGGTAACTTTGCTTATCTTCTGGTCATTGTGTTGATCTTAAAGTTTATTTATTAGAGACTGCTCTTATCAACCTTATTTCCAAGTTCTTAGGGGAAGTTTTATTGTAACCTCCAAGATGAACTACAAAGCACTATTATAAATTTCCCAAAATGGGGGTGGGTGGGTGATTGTTCTAGAGAGTGAATAAGAACATCTAACCTTAAGATTAAAATATGGAAACAATGAAATATACCATCCCATACCATGTAGTTTTTTCCATTATTTTTTAAACAGAAAATATAATCCACATATTTTGCTTCTTCGCTTCCAGATATTCTTTAGGAAGAAAACTGAGAAGCCAGCTGAACCATTTTTAGAAACCCTTTCTCTCCTCTTCTCCCTCCTCCTTTGGATTCAGAGGCTGTGCTGTACAGGAAAACCAGACCAAGAACCTTAAAAGGGTTTGACTTTAAGTGAGACTCCTGGTCTGGATGAATGTATTTGGGTGCTAAATAGGCAAATTAGATACCTCTTTCCTGATTAGCACTCTTCCTAGAGAGAATATTATTTGTATTCCTGGAAACATAATAGCAGGAAAGAGGAAAAACTTGGACTAAAAGATGTGGCTGGATGACAAACAGAGGTCTTGAGGTGACTTTGCTGGAATCAGCTCCGCAAATAACCCACTTTAGGTAATTCTACTCTCCAGGTGAAATTTGTGTCTGTATCTTTGATTTGGGCCTGATTCTCAAAGTTAAAACATTGAACAGAGACTCTGTTTACAAAATGTTCTGAGTGGGCTGTACCTGACACCTGGAGTTAATCCAGATATTCAGTGACTTACATGGGGTCTGGAGGGCTTGCTGAGAAAAAAGGCTTGAATCCTCTCCACAGTTAGAGTTGTCACATCAGATGTGCCTGACTGACTGAAGATGATGGAAGTCCTGGGATGTTGGAGCTCTTGGAAGAGGGTTCACCTTCATCATCAGGCAAGGAGTCATTGCCAGCACAGAAGGGAGGGGAGTGATGGTTTCTGGTA